GCCAATGTGGAAGTGACGGAGTGACACCAGCTATTTGTCCTGTGGCATCCCGAACGCACTCACTGCCGCACGCACGTTGTATGTTGAACTTCTTTCGCGCCGTACGTAAGGGACAACAAACTAAACACAAAAAGGCAGCTCTAAAGAAATGAGTTCTCACTCGAGATTTAAAAGTCCACGGCTCAAGTGGCTCCCCTAATATCGGAAGGAAGAGCGTTCCAGACGGCCGCAGAAGCGCATCCGAAAGCTCCGTTTTTGTTCGACGGACAGCCAAAATCCGCTGCTGCGAGGATGACCGGAGTTTGCGTGATGATGGTTTCTGCTCCTTGACGCGGTCAGCGAGGTATTATTATTTGGGTGGTGGTTCATTCGTGTGGCAAGCACTTTCGTTGAGAGACGAGCGCGGCCTCGCAGCAATCAATGTATTCGTTCGGCACACCGGAAGCCAATGCAGCTCGGCGAGCACTGGGGCGGACACACGGGCGGACACACGGGCGGACCCTGCCACTGCCCCCCGTGCGGGAGGAGACCTCCTCGTGGCCTGTCGGACGGGAGCCGTGCTGAGAAGACAGCCGCTGGTGTCCTCCGCTCGGCGAGCAGTGGCGGCGAGACGCTACGTCAAACGACGCCGGCTCGTTTCCACCAGTCATCGCCACGGTGGCTAGGAGATGTTAACTCTCTCGCCTGGTGTGCAGGAGGTCGTGGGTTCGATCCAGACTGACGCCTACTGCTGTATATTTGGAGTTTGCGTGTCTCTCTCATCATCATCACGGTGGCTATGAGATGTTAACTCTCTCGCCTGGTGTGCAGGAAGTCGTGGGTTCGAACCAGACACTGACGCCTCTGCTGCTGTATATTTGGAGTTTGCGTGTCTCTCTCTCATCATCATCATCACGGTGGTTAGATGTTAACTACCTCGCCCGGTATACAGGAGGTCGTGGGTTCGATCCCGACCCTAAACACTTGCTGTATATTTGGAGTTTGCGTGTCTCTCATCATCATCACGGTGGCTAGGAGATGTTAACTCTCTCGCCTGGTATGCAGGGGTCGTGGGTTCGATCCAGACCCTGACAATGCCTGCTGCTGTATATTTGGAGTTTGCGTGTCTCTCTCTCTCTTATCATCACGGTGGCTGGGAGATGTTAACTACCTCGCCTGGTGTGCAGGAAGTCGTGGGTTCGATCCAGACCTTGACGCCTGCTGCTGTATATTTGGAGTTTGCGTGTCACTCTCCCTCTCTCTACGGTCGCGTGGATTTTTCACCGGGTCCTCCGGTTTTCCCCTCCACATTTAGAGTCAACATGGCGCGTTTAGAGTATCTGGCTGCTACATAGTTCCACATGGCGATGAGCCACTTCGTTGAGCTATCATTTGTGATAGGCAGTTCGCTTCTGAAAAAAGAGCCGCATAGCTCAATGGGCTTTACCTGGTAAAATAAGCATAGTTTAGTTCTAGTTTAGAGAAATACAAACGAACGGCCAATTCACAACGTAAGAGCACGCCGTGGTGCAGTGGTAACACGCGTGCGTCGCAGCAAGAAGGGCCCGGACTTCGATTTCCTGGCTCTAGCACCTGCATTGGCTTTCTCCTGCCCCCTGTGCTTGCACGGCCTCGTCAACGAGATCTCCCAGTTGCCTCCCACAGGCAACAACACAACAGAATGTGTAGCTCGCGGCAACACCCAAGGGGTTGCTCGAGTTGCGATGGAACGCGGCGACGTCGTTCCCCTGACTGCGAAGAACTTGCGAGAAACTCGGGTTAACAAACGGAATCATTCGTAAAATATATCGTAATAAATTGTTCGTGCAATAATAATAAACATTGTAGTGTTATTTATTAATTGGTTATGCCTCAAAAGTACAGAAAATGGTTGTTGTTCCCCACAAACTTTGCTTTTGTGACCAGGACCAGTGATATCTTGAAATGTACCTATTTTCAATGAGAACACGTGGTGTGCATTTGTGTCATTCCTTCACGAAAGCAAAGTTCGTGGGGAATAATAATAATACCCATTTCTCTACTTTCTAGGCATAAGCAATTAAACAAAAATAGCACTTACTACCCAGGAACAACAAGTCGTCTTACAAAGTGTACTGATTGTAGCTTGCGCAGATCGGGCGTTGCAACAACCTCGCGTGCACGAGGTTGCCTGGCTGACACCGGGTTGGGTCCCAACTGTGGCTCTGGCGGTCACAGCGCTCGCCTCTCGCTGCGAGACGAGCACGAGTTGAGACCCCCCCCCACCCCCCAGGAGACGTGGAACAAGTTGGGCCCCGACAACGTTCTGCTGCCCACGACGTTCTGGGCCCCAACGTTGGTTGCACGTTCACCACGGCCACGGTACTTTCGAGTGAGGGTTCAAGCGAAATTCCGCAGGCTGGAATCGGCACGCAGCCAAACGCAGCGGGCAACCCGCAACATCCGTGTGACAGCAGCAGCGGCGGCGTTGCCAGACAATCAATGGCCCCATTGATTATATAATCGTCACCGGTGTTGGCCGCGAGCGGGAATTGAACTCGGGTCGCCGGGTTCGTAGCGTAGCGCGCTAACCGCTACACCACCGCTCCCCACTCATGCGGACACACAGACACACACAGCCACATAGTCACCTTAAGATGTTTTTCTTGTTCGTGTTTTTGTTTTTTTTGTTTGTTGCGGTTGCACCCGATTCAAGAGCCGAATGGCTAACAGGGCTATACCAAAAATAAATAAACTGAAAAAACAGTGTCTTTGTACACGTGAGTACACACACGCGCGTGTGTGTGTACTCACACGTGTGTGTTTACTCACGCGTACAAAGACACAACAACCGCCGTTCGCCACTAAGTAGCGGTGACGTCATCACGGCGCTTGTGCCACGCTAGGTGCACGTCGAGGCCACAGTGAGAGCGTCGGCAGCATGTGCACGAAACGGACCCGGCGAGCCACGAGTCGTGGCTCGTCCTGTAAACGGACAGAGCTCGCGTATAATAATTATCTGCAGCAGTCATGGGCCTCCCCTAGGTCGACTCAGCCTCAAATGAGTACCTGGTGCGGTGTGTAAACATCGGGGAGACAAAGGCGGCCGGGCGTGGTGCTGGCCACCCACCCCCTCGTGCGCCGTGCCGGCCTTCATAGGTGCTCGCTAACAGCACTTGCCCCAACATCCTGTTAAGGCTAGACGGGTGGTCTTTGTCTTATTCTCATGTATGCGAATGCGCGTGAGTGTACACTATGTGTGTGTCTGTAAGTGTTCCTTTGCTTCTATGGGTATTTGTATGTCGAAACGTCGTGATTTATTTTAATTTAATTTTATTGTATTTCTACATACGTGACATTAACGAAAAAAACCAATGAGTAATTTGTATGTGTGTCAATATGACTTTGTATATTTACGTGAGTCTGAGTGTACGTGTCGGTCATGTAGCCCACACGCCCAGCCACCGCATGCCGAAACAGCTTTTGTTCGGCCGGATCGAGGGGGCTAAACGGGCGCGGCACGGGCTAGAGAAGAGATGGAGTGATGTGGTACAGGAGGACGTGGAGCTGAGTGGACTTGCCGATGACCGGTACCAGCGGTGTCAAGATCGGCCTCTGTGGAGGAGGCTCGTGAAGGATGCTACTGGGCAGTTGGAGGCAGTCGCCCTCCAACAACAACGGAGGGCGGAGGAGCGACGCTCACAACAACGAGCGGAGCGCCGGGTAGCTAAAGCACAGCAGGTTGGCACAGTAGGGGGCACAGGTGGTGCATCAGCCAGTCATCTCAGTCAGTCGACCCGTGCACCTGGGTCTGCCCCGTGACCTCCTGCCAGCGGGCGTTCGACACTTCACGTGGCCTCAGGGTGCACATGGCCTGGCACAAGCGTCGTGGTGACGTCACCGCCACTTAGTGGCGAATGGCGATTGCTGTTGTGTGTGTTGTGTGTGGGGAGCGGTGGCGCAGTGGTTAGCACTGCACCGCGCTACGAACCCTGCCACCCGAGTTTAATTCCCGCTCACGACCAACAACAGTGGCGGGTAATATTCCAACCGGTCCTGGGCAACCCCTAGGTCGACTCAGCCTTAAACGAGTACCTGGTACGTTAACAGCACTTGCCCCGACAGCCGGCGTGGGCTACACACGAGGAGGGGAACCTTTGTCTTTGGGGCGTGTAAAAAGGAGGAAGCGGATCTGCCTGTGAAGTGTCTGGCACGCCACGTGCTGTGTAGCGCACCCCCCCTCCCACTTACCCCCCCCACCTCCTCCCCCCCACCCTCTGCCCCCCCACTTACCCCCCCACCACCCCTTGCCCCAATCCAGCAACAGCTGCAGCGGCACGTGGGGGGGGGGGGCTATGTTGGGCCACTCGCAGTGTCGCGACGAGCGGCCGGAATCCGCGAGCGACAATCGAGGTAATTTCTGCGGTCTGGGTATTATGGGCCACAGCACGAGGGGCTGAGATATTACACCCCCCCCAACCCCCCACCCTCGACCCCGTGTCGCTTCCCCAACCCCCCACCCTCGACCCCGTGTCGCCCCGTGAAAACGAAGACGCGGCGATTCTTAAACGGGGTTGTAATCGTCTGCGTGTCTCACCATCAGCAGTGTAGCGATGACACTCAAGTGTGAGAGCGCCGGCCAAGTTATGTTTCCCCTTGAATGGCGATCGGCCGCCACGGTGGCTAGGAGATGTTAGCTACCTCGCCCGGTATGCAGGAGGTCGTGGGTTGGATCCCAAACCTGACGACGCCTGCTGCTGTATATTTCGAGTTTGCGTGTCTCTCTCCCCGTTGTTGCGTGGATTTTTTTTCTCCTGGTTCTTCCCTCCACATTTAGAAACACGCGTTGAGAGTATTTTGGCTGATATAAATTTCCACGCGATAAGCCACTTCATTTGGCTATCATTTGTGGCCAGGTCGCGTCTGCAAATGAGCTACATAGCTCAGTGGGCCTTACCTGCTAAAATAAAAGTTTCGTTTTTAGTTTGGAAAACGCGGCTGCTTGCTTGATGTGTTTTACTTCATAATTTCTGGGTGAATCATCCTGTTGTATCTGTTTATTAGATTATCGACATTGTCCTGTGCACAGACTGCCCCCCGCCATAGGAACGTGGAGTTTCCACCACTGGCCCAGTATGTATGTTGACCTTATTTTGCACCGTACGTAGCCGACAGAGCTAATCAGAGGTGCGGGAAAGGACAACCAACTAAACACAAAAAGCAGTTCTGAAATAAATTATTTTCAATTTAGAAATTTTAAAAGTGCATAACTCCAGTGCCTTCCTTCTTCCGGAAGGGAGAGCGTTCCAGACGGCCGCAGAAGCGCGTCTGAAAGCGCGCGATGCGGTGACCGTCTTCGTTCGATGGTTAGCCAAAAGCCGCTGCTGAGAGGATGACCCCGAATAGAACCAAAGAGTATGATGCGTGATGATGCTTTATGATCCTTGAGGAACCATCATCACGCGAACTCCGGTGACACAAGTGAAAATCGCCCCCACGCTCGATTCGGCAGGGAGACGCTCCGAATGTTTCTGAATTAAATGCCCGGTCAAGAAAACACAGCGTCGTCACACCGAGCCCTCGCCCCCACTTCAATATAAACCACATCGGCGAATCTCACTCGCCAGTCGCACCAAGAGCTGTGGGGGGGGGGGGGGGGGGGCTGTGAGTCACACGCCCGTGGGCATTGGCATTGTCCCGCCACATGCCAGCAGGGATGATGGCAGCACGGATCTAGTGGTCAAAAATCCGTCCAGAAATCGCCGTTGGCTTTGCCATCGATTCCTCTTTTTAGCCGTGGGTCCAGCCCGGCGGCACGCAACTTTCGAGTCCGACTTGGCCGTGAATTGGCCCGGGGCTAGAACGCACGCACGCGCGCGTGTGTGTGTGTGTCCGAGCGAGCGCGTCGTCTCTCCACCTCGTCACCATCACCGCGGGGCCGGTCGTGACGCCGAGGGAGTCTCGGCGCCGTGAGCGGCCACTGGGCTGGACGTTTGTTGGCGAGGCGGTGCCGCAAACATTTGCGCCGTGCGGTGCTGATGGGGGGCGGGGGGGGGGGTCACTGGTCTCGCAAATAGCTCGCGGCAGTAAACGGCGCCGTCGATTTATAATAATCCACGTGTCGGTTTACAGTTCCAACTATTTCACCGACATCTCGTAAAACTGTGACCGCGCGGAGCCGCGGTTAGCCCCAGCCCCCCCCCCAACCACCCCGCTCGCTTCCTCTCGCGCTCGCGCAAGCCGGCTGCGAATTGAAATCCCAGCCAGGGTTTCGGTTCAGCCCATCAGCTCCATCAGTGTCCATAAAATAAGTACCACTTTGCGGCGAGTCAACAGTTTTCGTGCTGCGGAGAGACCCCGTCTCCACCGCCGCCACCATAGGAATGGGGAATTTTCCCCACTTGGCTGAAAGCTCACCGATGGTTCGAGCAGGGAGACACTTTGACAAGAGTTTGTGTGGGAAGTTACTTGAAGGATATTGATGTTAGGCATCAGGTGTTCCAAAGGGAGCAGATGGCTTGCTCGCCAATGAACCGCCTTATACAGGTATCCATACCTGTCAACCAATTCGTTTACCCCGTATTCTTGTACAGGGACATTTAGTTTTCAGGTCCATACGGCGTACAGCCATTTCAACATGGGCATTTTAGTTTATTTGTTTGGGTTTCTCCCTTGTGATGGGACTTTGTAGAATTAACGTTGATATTTATAAGGGCACGGGGTGACCCAATGAGGTCTGAATTGGTTTGTTAATAAGGTGGGGCACTGATAAGGGGTTGACAGGATGGGTATCGGTCAGCACACTGACCTATGAGCTGGCCTACACAGAGGTCAGCACACTGACCTATGAGCTGGCCTAGAGGTCAGCACAGTGACCTATGAGCTGGCCTAGAGGTCAGCACAGTGACCTATGAGCTGGCCTAGAGGTCAGCACACTGACCTATGAGCTGGCCTACAGAGGTCAGCACACTGACCTATGAGCTGGCCTACAGAGGTCAACACACTGACCTATGAGCTGGCCTAGAGGTCAGCTCATAGGTCAGCACACTGACCTATGAGCTGGCCTAGAGGTCAGTACAGTGACCTATGAGCTGGCCTAGAGGTCAGCACACTGACCTATGAGCTGGCCTAGAGGTCAGCACAGTGACCTATGAGCTGGCCTACACAGGTCAGTACAGTGACCTATGAGCTGGCCTAGAGGTCAGCACACTGACCTATGAGCTGGCCTAGAGGTCAGCACACTGAACTATGAGTTGGCCTACAGAGGTCAGCACACTGACCTATGAGCTGGCCTACAGAGGAGCCATCCCTTAGGCTCCCAATACTTGTAGAGCTCAGCCACGGGGACTGTGGTGTTGTAGGATAAATGTCAAAAGCAAGTTAAGGTTGTTCCCTATGGTGGCATGCGGCTCCGCTGTTTCTAACCTTCATAAGAATGATGACAAAGAAGGATGACGGTGGTTAAAGGTTACAGATACCAATGCAATGGCAACCTTGGAATTTAACGCAATAAATATCACACTTTTGGAATAATTTGGGGCCAAATTACAAACACCCCCTGTCCTACCCCACCATAATTTTAGTTACAAACATTTCTCCAAAAGTAGTGGTTCCAACAATATTGTTAAATGGACGACTTTAAATAAAAACGTACGGCTTTCCTACGAGACGTCCACCCCCTGCCTCACCGAATATTTCTGCCGAGAAAGGCGCACCTCACTCGGGTCATTTGCTAGGCCCTCACGGGTGGGTGGGTGGCTTGTCAATGTCAAACATACACACGAAAAGAATCGGGAGACGCGGCGGCATCCGACAGCTGTTACAACAGCAGCGTTCTCCATGTTGCAGCCACGCCACGAATATAAACGCGGAGGGCTATTTCAAACGAGATTCCCGTCGCGTTCGCGTTGGTGGTGGTGGTGGGGGGGGGGGGCATTCGGGCAAGGTCCAGGCCAGCCAACTTAAGATTCCGCGTTGTCGAATCCATCCCGGAGCCCTGCGACCACTCCACATCCCTGCCGGAACGACGAAAGCGTGGCGCCGTCTCCCCACCTTGAGTGGGGTCGGGGCGACACTCGGGTCGACGAGATGCCAACTGCGACCGGTGACCGTTTCATTTATAAGCCGCGCTCAAACCGCCGTCGGTGGCGTCAAGCTGCCGCCTTCTCGTTTGCTTGGGACTTGCAAACGCCCCGTGCGGAAGCCGCGACGTGATTTTGGCCGCCGCCTCCTCGATGGGACGCGCGACGACGCCGGGCTCTGAAAACCGTGACCTTTAACCTAAAGTTTAAACTTATATTCGGGGGAAGGGGGGGGGTGGGGGTTGGGTGGGCGAGTGTGAGTATGCGGCGGTTGGCACAGTCGGGGGGTGGGCACAGGTGGCGCACCGGCCAGTCGTCTCAGTCAGTCGACTCGTGGGTCACCTGCGCAGGGTCTGCCCCGTGACCTCCTGCCGACGAGCGTTCGACGCTTCACGTGGCCTTAACGTGGCACCTAGCCTGGCACAAGCGCCGTGGTGACGTCGCCGCCACTTAGTGGCGAACGGCGGCGGTTGTTGTTGTTGTTGTTGGTGTATGCAGCGACAGCGTAGCGGGCAGCGCGACGGCCAGCCGAGTTCGATTCCCGCTCGCGGCCACAAACACCATCAGGGACGAATATCTGAAGCGGTACCTGGTCCTCCCCTAGGCCGACTCGGCCTGAAATGGCGCGGTGTGCAGTAAACATCTGCCACTGGGGAGACGAAGGTGGTCGGGCGTGGTGCTGGCCACCCAGCCACCCACCCTCTCGTGTTCCGCAGTGCCGGTAGCGTTCATCGGCGCTACTACTCGCTAACAGCGCTTGCCCCAACAGTCTGTTACAGGCTACATGTGGGGGGCAGGGGGGCGGGGGGGCGGGGGACCTTTGTCTTTTGCATTCGACACCGGCCCACAGAGGGGCGAATTGGGGGCCCAACTGGTGCCCCCCCTCCCCCCGCCCCCCGTGAAGGTCGCTCGCTACGTGGATGAATCCGCGCGGCTGTCCGGCTCAGCTGGCGCGCGAGTGACTCGCAGGCGGACTCGTCGTGAACGCGAACGGACAGCAGAAGGGGCTGGGCCGTGTTAATTACTCTCCGGGGGGGGGGTCACCCCTTCAACGAAGGCCGTGGGGCCACGCAGGAGTGAAGCTGGCATCTGACTTGGCAAAGAGAGGCCGGCTTCACCCTCACACCCACCCGGAGGGGGGAGGGAGCCAGAGTTGAGTCCGAAGGCTTGGTGGTGGTGGTGGCGGTACAGCAATTCCCCGATTTACGTCTTCCCTCCCGCATTTGACGTCGTTTCGCAAATAAGTCGCCACTTTATTATTAACACCGCTACTACCGGGCGAAACGTCGCGCTCAGATTGTGAATGTTGCGTATTTACACTCCAACACGCCGGTGTGCTGCACTCGTCACGGATTATTGGCACGTTCTGTTTACGTGACAAACCTTACTACTAATTACGCGATCGATCGAACCCAAACAGAAACGTCTTCTGGGTGAGATTGGTCGCGAAAGCCTCCCACGTGTTAAACTACTCAATTCACGTCGCCTCAAGCCCTCCCCCACTCCACGTCACCGTCGTTTCTCGTTCTCCATGGCCTCTCTCAGCCTCCACCACCACCACCACAACCACCACCTCCACCACCACCACCACAACCACCACCACCTCCTCCACCACCACCACAACCACCTCCACCACCACCACCAGCTCCACCACCACCTCCACCACCACCACCTCCACCACCACCACCACAACCACCACCACAACCTCCACCACCACAACCTCCACCACCACAACCACCACCACCACCGTCAATCCCTTCGATTGACGTCGTTTACGATATTTCTCGCCGCACCTTTACAGGAACGTGCCCCCCCCCCCCTCCCCCGACCCCGACGTAAACCGGGGTAATGACTGTGGATGCCTCTGTAAAACAAGGTCTGAGCCAGCCCTACCGAGACCACGAGTTTAAATCCCCCATCTCGGCCAAGCGCGATGAAACCGCGTTCTCAAGCGCCCCGGCGGCGGTCGTCTCAGCCCGCGCGCCACTTTTGAAAGGACACTTTAAAAAAAATAATAATTATGAACCACCAACGGGAACAATTTGGGCGCTTTCACCAAAAGCAGGGGGACCTGGTCAGCTGTGAAGTAAAATGCAGTGCGATCCATTTATAGACACCCCGCTAGCTCGTGACGTCGTTCCTCGTTAAGGACTCGCGGTGCGTCGCGTCTCTACGGAACGTCGAGGCTGGTTTTTTTTGTTTACCGCTGCAAATTTGGAGAGAGAGAGGAGGGAAAAAAATGGCAAACGACCCTCTTTATTGGAATAGGTTTTACCCTTTTAACTGGCACAAAAACTGACACCTTTATTCGAGGCATCATGTTTGCAATAACCACAACACAAGCAGTCAAAATGCAAACAAAAGACAGCTCTAAGAAAAGCTGTCTCGGGTGTGGACCAATCAAATTCAGGGACAGTGCATATTATTATCAGAGTTGTCTTTTTTGTTTGCATTTTGACTGCTTGTGTTGTGGTCATTGCAAACATGATGCCTTGAATAAAGGTGTCAGTTTTTGTGCCAGTTAAAAGGGGTAAAACCTATTCCTATATCTTGTTACTGGCAAAGGAGGTCTCATAATGTTAACGACCCTCTTTATTCTCAACGGGCGATTGAAAAAAAGTTGCGGAAGGCGACGCGAGGCAACAGCGTTGCTGAAGATTAATCGGCGTCTTAAGCTTATGTGGAGCGAGGCTTCGCTACGACACGCATTCTTCTCCGCGCCGTGAGCCGTCCCCAATTATTTGAGCGGGGCATCCCTAAATGGACCACCATGCATATCCACTGGAAGCGCAGTGATGGAGAAGCTGCCGAATCTGGATTTTCACACCCCGATGCCGCTCTGCAATGAAAATGTGAATTTTGTATTATTACGCGCGAGTTTACCCGCGCGTAATAATTGAGGCTCACTTTCAGGAGGGTTCTGCCAAGCCTTTTATAGTAGGGCAGGGGTGGTGATGTTGCTGCCACTGCTGCTGCTGTGTAATCCCAAATGAGTAGTTTACAGGTAACATTATGTACCCATGTTGAACTTTTGTCCCACCGTACGTAGCCAACCGTGCTAATCGGAGGCGCTACATTCCACGTTTAAATTAGCTATGGGAGGAAACCCATGCCGAACAAGGGGAGAGAACACACAAAAATCGCACGCAGGAAGGAAGGCTGCCGAGTCAGGAATCGAACCCAGGGCCCCCCTCCCTTGCGCTGTGGCGCCGGGATCTGCCGTCCGTGGGGACGTCAAGAGAGGGCTCTTTCCCTCCCCGTCTCTCCGCGTCTCCCAGCTGTCGAGCGTGTTTAGTCTCAGGTCAGACAAACATCTAGCGGCGCGTAGTGGGACGGACAACTGACAAGACGGCCTCCCTTCTTGGCTAATTACAAAACGTCCTCCACTCACGAGCGCGTCCTCGCTTTACTTAGGAGAACATTGAATGGCGCTCATTGATTTCCGCAAGCCCCAGACCCGTGTTGTTGGAAATTCCACGAAATTCCACGGCAAGGGCCAACATCTCAGCAGGACAACCGCAGTGGTTTTCACCCAGGCGAGGCAGTGTCGATGACGATGGTGCCGGAGTGTTTCCAGGCTGTGCTTATAAATCCCTGCCAACGCAGGTTCCTTTTTAGTTTTAATGATAACAATAACGTTCTCGATTCATCCAGGAAAGCCTAATGGAGAGTCTCAAGGCCCCTTTGGAGGAGGGCGCTGCTGCGTTGGGATAGTTGGCCAGTTGCTTTTCGAGGAGCGTTTGGCTTCACGCACGGAGAACATCGGCTGTCCACTCAGGGCAGCACACACACCGAGCCCTGCCCCGTGTGAGTCTCACTCAGGGCAGCACACCAGCAAGGCGATATCAATCCCGGCGTACGCTCTCTTGGCCGTGTCAACGGGAAACCCTTTACACGTGAATCGATCACCGTGCCCCACACGAGGTAGCTGTGGTATTTGTAATGCGCTACAGACTTGCTTGGGAGCCTCCCGGTTACCTGCGATGATGGTTTGGCACCGCCTTGCCGCTGCAATCGGCGCACCCACACCACACAGTGGGGCGGTCGTTGCGGCCCCCAGCCACTCGACGCGTTAGAGAACCGAGCCAGCTTTGTCGAGTCGTGTTTCTAGGCTCGTTTTCACCGCCTCGTTCGTCGCGTTTTCGAATGTTCCGTGAGCCTCGCTGCAATGCTAGGGTGTTCAATTCGCCGGCCCGCTCGCGGTCATTGCACGCGCACACTTCGACGTGCGTGCACGTCGCGCATCGCTCAAGGGATTTGTTTCCATCGACGGATCGGCATCGCCTATAGGCTTTCGCCTGCGTGCACGCGAGCGGAGCAAAACGCCGTCGGCCAACGAGATCGGCCCCGCTCACTGCTCACACCGACGCCGGCGGCAGAAGGGGGTCGCCGGCGCGGGGGCGGTCACATGGCCTCAAGGGCCGACGCGGCTGCTCCCGACTTGGAGCACTGAGCCAGCACCGCACACTCCCACCCTCCCCGAGCTCAATTCCATGGCATCAGCGTCACCTGTGACAAAGAGCTCTTTAGCTCATCGGATTCCTCCAGTATACATGACGACTCTGATTCTGTTTACACGTCCGGTTTTCCCATCAATTGGGAGCCGCTCGCAGGCAAGTCTGAGCGAAGGGTGCTTCCGGTGTTGAATTCTCTACAGGGGGCGTAAAGTGGAATAGCTCTGATGTTGCAGGCACCGGCTGGGCATCCTTTAAGGGTCTATTTTTACTGCGAACTCGACCTCAACAAGATTGCACGTTCTTCAGATTTTCAGACGAGTGCACTGTTTGCCTCGTGTTCCTTTCACAACTGCAAAAGGACGAATCGATCGTGAAATAAATTATTTACGTCGGTGTTATATTTTCTTTTTCCTGTGCCATCATCGACGGCTGGGCTGAGACCATCGATCTGATCGATCTGACTCTACCGGAGGACCCGATTTCATCCCAGTTGAGAGGCCGGGAATCGAGCCTAGGTGTCTCAGCCGAGCCGGGCTCAGTGTTGAAGCAAGCTTATCGAATAAATTAATGGTGTTTTAACATCTTAACACCTGTTTTGTTGCCAGAACAAAGGAGGAACCCCTATTAACAATTAATGAACTTGTACTCGTACTGTGCCCTCACTAGCAACGTAACGACACGTCTCACGAGCGCAGGTTTCCCTAACGGCGGCTGTCCCCTGGTGCGGCACAAAGCGACTCTTCTCCAGGATTGGGTGCTTTGGCCTCGGGGCACCCCGCGCGGCAGCTGTCGCTGTGCACGAGGCCTCCCAGCAGGGGCGGAATAATTGCTGCGCGAGATTGACGTTGCACGTGCGTTTCTTTTACTTTAGCTGGAGGAGGAAACCCGGGAGAAACCCAAGTAAGCACAGGGAGGTGGTGAACATACAAACTCCACACGCGGGAAGTTGCCCGAGCAGGCAAACAAACCGATCGGCTTCGCGCTCCGAGGTGCTAGTATTACCACTGCGCTGTCGCCTACCGCCCTTGGCGTCAGCATCCCTGACGTGAATAACAAAACCCATGGGGGGGGGGGAAGGGGGGGGGCAACTGCCCTGGCGGTGAGGACGACCCAGGAACCGAGCACAGACCAGACGACACCGCCGCCGCCCGCCGCCGCTGGCCGTGGAGGCCGCTTTCTGACAGGAGCACTTAGGCGCGTACACATCGTGTGGCTCAAGGGTCATTAAGGGCCGAAACATTAGCCAGCTACATGCGCTTCCGTTGTTTAGCGGCGGGAGCCAGGCGTTGGCGAGGTGTGCGTACGCGTACGAGGGGTGTCTGGTAACCACCCCACCGAGGCCGCCCCATCTAATTTTACAGTCTAACCGCATCATATAATCCCCGACGGTGGATCGGACGAGGTCAAATCGAACCGAGCGACTTTCTTTGCCGCTTCGGCTTCAGTAGTTGTGCACGAATTCCCAGCCACGCTCTCACGGCGGCGCGGCGGGCGAGGGTTCAGGCCGGTGCCGCGTCGGTCGAGGCCAAAGTGCGACGATCCGCTCCTTCCGGGGCCCTCCGCTAACCTCGCGCTCGCAACTCCGCTCGCGCCCGCAACCCCGGTCGCACTCGCAACTCCGCGGGTGAAAATCCGTCGGCGGTGGCGAGGGTCGACTCGGCCGATCATCCCTCCCGGCTCAATGAAACGAGCACCGCGTTGCAGACTCCCTCAACGGCGGTCGTCCCACGGGGAGACCGGCCCTCGCCATGGGACCGTCGAATTTGCTCCGCCGGCTTGAGTTGGCCTTTGGGGAGATGAGCGCGCCCCTCCCGTTGGCTTATATTCACCCTGGAAATCTTGACCAAGTCTCAGAACTGGTTTTGAGGAGGATGAGGAGGAGGAGGACGCCGCCTGGGTTGTTCGACCATCACCCGCAGAGACGCCGCGGGCGAAGCCGCCGTTCCGGCCGGGGCCGCCACGGCCGCCCCCCCCCCACCCCCCCTCTCCCCCATGCCCGTCCACTCCCCCCACCGTCAGTGGTGGCTCTCGAGCTCCACGATCGTCCACTCGCCTGCGGGGCCCCCCGTGGGCGGCTGCCCCCCGTGGTGTCCGTCAGGGGAGAAGGCCGCCACGGCGGTGACGCACGCGTCGGCCTCGCAGCGCAGCGGGGAGAGCAGCACCTCGCTCCAGCGCGTGAGCGCGTCGCCCTGCACGGGGCGCACGCGGCCCCGCGGCAGCACCTCGCTCATCCGCGTCAGCGCCTCTTCCTCCTCCTGCCCCTCCTGCTCCCCACGTGGAGCCGCGCCCCCTGCCACCGACCCCTCCCCCGCCACCCCCCCCTCGCCCGGAGCGGGCCACGACGGAGCGGCCGCGCCCTCGCGCAGCCCCGACAGGGAGCGCGGCGGAGGCACGGAAACGCGGCGGCCGGGGGAGGCGGCGAGGCGGGATGGCGGAGCGGGCGGAGCGGGCGGCAGGGCCGGCTCGGGGGAGGCGCCGCCTCCGTCGTCGCGACGGGCCCGGGGGTCGGCGAGGTCGCGCCCGTCGGGGTCCCGCGTGACCTCGAAGGCCCCGGCGGCGGTCGGGACGGCGGCAGCGGGGTCATCGGCGTCCAGCTCCAGGATGGGGGAGAGCGGCTTGCCGGACGAGAAGTGCGAGTGGGAAGGGGCGTCGGCCGACAGCGCTGCCCCGGCGCGTCTCGCCGTCAGCGCGGAGACCTCAAAGTCGTCGCCGTCCGCGTCGCTGCCGTCGCTGCCGTCGCTGCCGCCGCCGTCGTCGTCGTCGCAGTCGTCGTCCTCGAAGTCATCCGGCGTCCACCCGTGCCCAAGCTTCGTGGCCGCTGGCTCGGCCTGCGGCTTCCGCTCCGGGGGCCGCCGCTCGGCCGTCAGGGGCGGCTCTCGCGGCCGCCCCGGGGTTAGGTCGACGCTGCCGCTGCAGTCGGGGTGCGGGTCGCCTCCCCGTACGTGCGCGAGCTCCGGTTGAGCCGTCACGCCGGCGTCCCCGCTCACTCTCCCGGTCCGCGGCTCGGCCTCGCGCACCGCTCTCGAGTCGGGCTCGGCCGCGTAGTCCCGGAACGCGGGGTTCTCGATGCCGCAGAGGACCCGTGTCCGATGCTTCTCCACATCATTGACGTAGTAATCGTTATCAAAATCATCGCCGTCTTCGTCATCTTCCTTTTCGTCATCGTCGTCGTCGCCTTCAACAACATTGTTATTATTATTTCCGGTGTCTCGCTTGAGTCTCTCTGCCAGCGTCCGTTCGGTTTTGTCCCGGGGCTCGTATATGGGCGCATGTCTGGACTCCAACAGCATTTTGAGTTTAAGACCAAATTCTGGACTCATTCCCAGCGTAGAGCCGGACGCGGAGGCGCCACCGGCCAGGCTGCCCGTGTCCTTCAGCTCCTCGGGGGTGCTGGTGGGGCTGCTGGTTTTCGAGTCGAGCTTCTCCCACAGGCCCATGGAGCTGGGAGTCGATAGATCACCCAGGGTGCCCCCGCAGCCCCACAGCTCGTCTCCCAGCTGGTGCGCCTCCGACATCACCCCCACGCTCACCGTCTCCCGGAAGGACCTGTCGTCGGAAAGCGCCCCCCCACCGTCCGCCAGGCTGGGCGAGGAGGCCCCGTCGGCCGCCTCCGACAGGTTGATCTCACACAGGCTGAGCTCGGCGAGGCGCACGCCGGGCCCGGCACCCGTGGTGAACTTCGTGCCGTGGACGTCCTTGGAGAGTGCTCTGTTCTTGTCAACGTCGGCTCTCACAGCGGGTTTGATTTCCGTGTCGGACCCGGTCCCCCCGCACGCGTCATCGACGTTCGCGTGCGAGTGAACCTGGACCCGCACCAAATCGGCACGCGGGGTGACCGCCCGGACGTCCCCGAGGCCCGCTGCAGGTTCGCGGCTCGCACCGGGCCTGGCGCGGGCACCAGCTCCCACGCGCGAAACGTCGTCTCCCTTCGCGCCGTTGCCCTCTGCCACCGGTGACATTCTCAAGTCGGTCATCCCAGACGCCGCCGCCGCCGCGGCGGAGCCGGCGTCTGTTGTGCTCGGCCGTGGCAGCGGTGATCCGTCCTCCACCCCTCCTGCGCCGGGGAGCGCTTCTCCTACCCCGTTCAGTTCAGGAATCGCTCCGGGGAAGACGCTCACGTCAGAAATTGCTTCTGCGCCGGAATGCGGGGGGAGCGGCTGCCTGCCGGCGGCGCCCGCGGCCGGGGAGACCCCACGGCCCGCGTCGCCCGCGTCGGCACCCGGGGGCTTCGTGTCCTGGCCCGCGTCAAATCCGGCCGTTGTTCGCTCGCCCGCTCGGCGCGTGGCCCAAGCCTGCCCGAGGCCTGCGCACGGAGTCTTCGCTCCACCGCCGAGGTCGCGCGACGCGTTCAGTTCGCCGCTCAGGTCACGTGAAGTCTTCCCTCTGCCGCTCGCGTCACACGTGGCCTCCGTCGTGCCACTCGCATCAACGTCGTCCGTCTCTCCTTCATGCGAGTCGCGCGCGGCCTTCTTGCCTCCACCGATCTTGTATGTGGATTTAGTTTCTTCGCTCAACTCGAGCGCAGCCTTCGGTGCCCCAAGCTCATCAGGCAGTGCGTTTATTTGCTCACGCGCGTCGCTCTCGGCCTTCATGTCACCGCTCTCGTCGTTCTCGGCCTTCGTGTCGCTCTCATCGCGCTCGGTCTTCACGTGACTCTCATCGCGCTCGATCTTCACGTGACTCTCATTGCACTCGGCCTTCGTGTCGCTCTCATCGCGCTCGGTCTTCACGTGACTCTCATCACGCTCGGCCTTCACGTGACTCTCATCGCGCTCGATCTTCACGTGACTCTCATTGCACTCGGCCTTCGTGCCACTCTCATCACGCTCGGTCTTCCTGTGACTCTCGTCGCTCTCGGCCTTCGTGTCGCTCTCATCACGCTCGGTCTTCCTGTGACTCTCATCGCGCTCGGTCTTCCTGTGACTCTCGTCGCTCTCGATCTTCCTGTGACTCTCATTGCTCTCGGCCTTCGTGTCGCTCTCATCGCGCTCGGTCTTCATGTGACTCTCAGCACGCTCGGTCTTCGTGTCGCTCTCATCGCGCTCGGTCTTCATGTGACTCTCATTGCACTCGGCCTTCATTTCCCCGCTCTCGTCATGATCAGCCTTCGTGCCACTCTCATCACGCTCGGCCTTCATGTGACTCTCGTCGCTCTCGGCCTTCATGTGGCTCTCATCACGCTCGGCCTTCGAATCCTCGCTCTCGTCACGCTTGGTCTTCGTGTCGCTCTCATCACGCTCGGCCTTCGATTGCCCGCTCCAGTCGTGCTCGGCCTTCCCTTCCGCGCTTGCGCCCTGTGCCGTCTCCTCATCTTCCTCCGCCACCGCCGCCGCTGCCCTCGTTTCCCCGTCCCCCGTGTCCGCGTCGTCCGCCACGTCGCCGTTCGCCTGGAGGAGTTTCGCTGCGTGCACCGTACCCTGGGCCCTGGCCACAGCGAGGGCTTCGGCCTTACAGTTCCTCCTCGGCGCTCTGGGGGCTCCTCCCGTCGCGCATCCCGTCGGAGGGCGGGTCGCGGGCCCCGCGGTCCTGAGCGGAGTGGCGCCGCTCCACGTCCGCCCTGTGTGACACGGGGACAACGATGACGGTCACTGCCATGCACCTCCACTGCCCGGGACGGCGGCGAGGGGGTTCGTGCGACCGTACTTCGCAAACGTGGCAGCGTGTAATGGTACAGCGGCGTGTTTTGTTGCGTTGCCTTCTGCTGTCCTCACCAGAACGGGCAAATTTGTCTCACCGCTCCAACGAGCGGGCGCTCGCCCCAATTGGTGTCCCCTTAGCGGGTGGTGCAAATTCCACATTCCCATGGCGGGAGCTACTTTATCCATAGGATGTACACTTTCTAACTCACAAACTTTTGATCGTGAATCGAGCCCCGGGCTCTGCCTGGCTGGCCATGCCGATTCCACGTTTCATCGTCAATCCAATATCCTCGACTCAACCAGATGCCTGCCACATCACCATGGGTACGCGCGGGTGTCAAATAGCACCGAGCTGAGAACTTGGCAGGATTAAACCACCGATGCCTCGGTGCCTCGGTGCCAACCTCGGCCTGGTCACCATTGATCACCCGAAAAAAATAAAACGAATTATGAAACAACCGCAATGCTAGCAGCGTACAGGCACACAATCGCGAGCGTCACGTGGGGCACAGAGACTCTCAAATTCGCTCTTTGCAAGGCCGCGTGGGTTTGGAGGCCCGGTGAGGCCAGGCCGACGGCAACTGGCCAGGTCTCAACTCAGTGGGACACGTGTGACCCAGTGCCGAGTAGGTTGGTACATGCGAATGTGGCCCAGTGTGGGGTGGGTGGATACGTGTGTGTCCCAATGCCGAGTAGGTGGGCACGTGTGAGTGTCACCCAGTGTGGGGTGGGTGGGTGGGTACGCGCGAGTGTGTCCCAATTCCCAGCAGGTGGGCACGTGTGAGTGTCACCCAGTGTGGGGTGGGTGGGTACGTATGTGTCCCAATGCCGAGTAGGTGGGTACGTGTGAGTGTCACCAAGTGTGGTGTGGGTGGGTGGGCACGTGTGAATGTGACCCAGTTTGGGGTGGGTGGGTAGGTGTGAGTGTGACCCAGTTTGGGGTAGGTGGGTACGTGCGAGTGTGGCCCAGTGGGAGAGAGTAAGAGGAAAGAGGAATTGGACTAAAGCACTCAGTTGTAGCCTCTGGGTAAACAATGACATCCCAACAGAGATGCGTGCATTGGGGGAGCGGTGGTGCAGTGGTTATCAGACTACACTTCGATCCCAGTGCTCTGGATGAGATTCCCAGCCACAAGCAACATCGATGTCATTACTATTTTATCCTTGCTGTCCCCCAAGGTCGACTCAGCCTTAAATGAGTACCCAGCACTGGGGAGACGAGGGCAGCTGGGTGTAATGCTGGCTACCCACCCCCTCGTGCAATGTGTGGCCTTAATAGGTGCTAACTAACAGCACTTTACCGAGGTCTTTATGGCTCGACGGGGGTACACACGTGCGCGTGTTTGTGCTTGTACGTGTGCCCCTTTTACCTGCTGCCGATTGGACGCTCGCTGCCGTCCTCCTATTGGCTGCTGCTCCCTCGGCCCGTGTGACCGCCTCGGCCAATCGTGCGTTGGCAGCTTCCTTCTCCTGCTTGCGAGACAGCGACACCGGGGCAGCGGTTCTGGCTCCCGCTCCACCTGCCGCTTTTACCAGCGCTCCACCTCCGGGTTTTGTCAGCGCTCCATCCCCAGGTTTTGCTATGGCTCCACCTCGGGACTTTGTCAGCACCACACCTGCAGGCCGTGTCAACACTCCACTTGCTGCTTTCGTAATCAATCCACTTCCTGGTTTTGTCAACGCTCCATCTCCTGGTTTTGTTATTGATCCAATTCCAAGTTTTATTAATAATCCACCCGCAGGCTTCATCATCACACCACTCGCCGCTTTCGTAATCATTCCAATTCCAGGCTTTGTCTCTGCTCCACCTCCAGGCTTTGTCTCCGCCCCATCCCCAGGCTTGGTCACCACCACAACTCCGGGTTTGGTCTCGGGATTGTTCCCGGTTTTGTTCGTCGATCCAGCGCCAGAATCCACCCCGAGTCCGCACACCGTTTTGACGCCCGCGACCCCGGTCCCGACCTTGTCTCTTCCGCTCCTGCTCCCGGGTCTCGATCCACTTCGCGGCAGGGTTCCGCTCCTGGTTTTGGTTGCTTCGAATGGCGCGCGATTCTTTGAGGCGTCCGCGTTGCCGTCTCCCCGGTGCCGATGGGACCCAGCCGTGGGCGACAACGTCGTCGCCGCCGCCGCCGCCGCCGGCACAGCAGAGTGAGGCGCCGCGGGGACAGCCGCTCTAGCGGAGCCCAGCTTCTGCGATCCTGCCGGGATTTTGCTGGGACTGGAGAGCGACTTGTTGGTGGCCGACGTGCATTTGTTGGAAGTGGCGGCAGCAGTTTTGTTTGGGCTTGCTGCTGCTGCTGCCGCCGCTGGCGGTGGTCTGCCCGCGCCGGCGGAGATCCTGCAGGGGCTGCCGACGGTTCTCGCGGCGCTGGCGGCGCCCTTGCTGGGGCTGGCGGCGGCTCTGGGCGAGGCACCCGCGGGTTTGGTGGCGGCCGCGGCGGCGGGCGGGAGCCGGTGAGCCGGCACCGCGCCTCTGTGCGGCGCCGAGCCTGGCTGAGGAGCGCCGGGCGCTACGCCGCACGTGCAGCCGGCGTCGGCGGCCCTGCCGGCTCCCGCGCCGTGCCGCAGCAGCTTGGACGGGGACCGTGAGGCGACGGCGGTGACGCAGTCCTTCTCCGCGCCGGCTGCGGCGGCGTCGGCTCCGCACGGCGCCGGGCAGGGCGGCCGCCCGTGCTGCGGGGAGGGCGCGAGCGGGCGGCGAGTGGCGGCGGAGCGCGGAGAGGACGCAGGGACAACACGGGGAGACGGGGGAGCACGCTTACACGGCGATGTTTCCAGCCTCCGCGTCAGCGCCATCGTCGCCGGCCACCGGGCCAACCCTAGGTTGACACGCGCACACGGGCACACACGGGCACACACGGGCACACAGGTAAGAGCACAGCCTCGTATCAAAGAGCACGCATGGACGCAGATGTGTGTACAAACACGTACACCCAGGGGCGGAGCCAGGATTTCAGGCCGGGGTGACATTCAACTAATTTTAATTTCAAGAATTTATTAGAGAGTCAGGCTGTTGAACTAGATGCCATCGGTTGGCGATACACTCTGACAATGCAGTTGCACGGAGTTCCGCCAGACCGAGTGTCGTACACTTATACGCAGAATGTCACCCCCGTCACCCCCCCTGGCTCCGCCCCTGCGTACACCCATGTGCAAACACAGAAATACGCCGATTTACGTCTCCCCATTTGACTTCGTTTTGCAAATACGTCGTCACTTTATTATTAACACCGCGACTACCCGATTTGCGTCGCCTCAACCCCACACTCACGTGGCTGACAGCATCCCTTGTCCTTTCTCGTATCTATCGCCTCTCAGCCTCTTCCTCCACCGCCTCCCCTGTAAATCGATTTGATTGACGTCGTTTCGATATTTGTCGTCGCACCGCTACAGGGACGCATCATCGACACAAAATCGGGGGTATTACCACCGTACAACCTTGAGCTCAAACGCATGCAAAAACACCAACGGTACGAATGCACACACGTCCAATTGTGCACACAAAACACACGCTCGCAAGTACGGATGTGTTGTACAAAGACGCATAGAAACGCGTACGTTCAACTGCCCTTCCAACATTAGGAAGCCACGAGAGATTAAAAACTCATTTCTTTAGAGCTCCTTCATGTGTTTAGTCTGTCGTCCTTCCCCCACAACTCCAATTAGCTTACAATTGGCTATGTGCAGTGGGAATTAAGTTCTACATACATACACACGTACTTGCTGACTTTCCACATCGATACACGAATTACTTTCCCTCCCCACGCTGGCTCCCACCTGCCCTGCTGCCGACTTCCGTGAGTCCGCGACCAGAGGAGGGGGGAGGGGGCCGTAAGAGAAAGCTGGGAATCGCGGGCCCGCAAGGGAACACCAAGTGAGGCGGGCCACACTTGGGCGATGAGCGAGAGAGAGGGGAGGGCGGGGAGAAACTGTGAGAAGGCTGAGCAATCGAACCGATCAGGCCTCCCCTGGTCCCCCTGACTCTGTAGCAAGGTGGCAAAGCAAACCCTGGCACTGCTTCTCGGGCCAAGCGGACCCCTAACCCCAACCGGCACTAGCAAATCAGACAACGGCCTTACTTAGAACCATAACTAAACGTGTCAACTAGGCACCATCCCTACCCGTAACCTTGACCACACAAGCCAACCAGACCCTTACAAAGGTGCCCATAAAGTCCCTGTCTATTTTATTGAAATCAAAGCAATTTAGGGTGAATTATGCAAAAGATATAATCGGAGGGATATTTACGAATGACACTTAACCATTGGATTCTACACGAGCACCGTCAATGTCTCTGCACAGTTCAATGCGCAACACATTTTGCAGCATCTGTGGAGTTATTTACGTAACGTCAGCCCCCGTAAACCTTGGAGATCTGTACCTCGTGTTTGATACCACCTCTGACTTGATAAAGCCCCATGGCAAAGAGAAATCCAAAGAACATTAAATCCGCAGATGGAGCCGTCCAGGGCCTGTTGCCGCTGCGTCCAGCCCTGCGATTGGTAAAATGTTCGCCGAGGTTCTCCCGAACGACGTTCGGGAGAACCTCGACTGCAATCACACGTTCTTGTACATTCGTAGTCATGGGGTCCTGCAAAGAAACATATATATACACACACACCATGAGTTAAATCAAATAGATGGGGACTTTATGGACACCCTTTACTTACCCACATACCTAACCACACTAACCATACAGACACATGCCACGAACCGCACTTCTGATGAAAGTTGCCAACCAGAGGCTAACCGAGAGCGGAGCCCTAACCCACTACCGGCAATCAGCCCAAGCCCATTTTCACCACGTGTGAGGTCTACTCATCCCCCTTGCCCCATCCTGCTGGCACCCCCCATTGGCACCCCTCCAGTCTGCCTGCAAACACAAGCGCACAGGACACCCATGGCCGCGGCGCCCACCCTCTTACTAACGCAGGCACGCACTCCGCATCACTCATGGCTCAGCGGTGTCGTGCGAGCAGCTCCCAATCGGAAGGTTCAAAGTTCAAATCCCAGTTGGGGAGGACTGACTCAACCCCATCATCCCTACGCGGTTGATGAGAATAAGTACCACTTTCTGTGAGAAATTAACAGTGGGCCCCCGGCATAGAAATGTGGAATTTCCTCCACTGGCTCAGGGCGATAAACAGGAGATGAGACGGAGGCTCTGACGAGGAACTGCCTGCTGGGGTGGAGCGTCGACTCGGTGGTTCTCTCTGGTGGAGCCCGCCGACAGTTGTAAAACAAGCACAACAATGTGCAGTGGTAACTGCCATGCCGGATGCTCCGCATTATTACAGCACTTCACGCTGTTGAGGCTGCATCTTCTACTCCGGTCGGGGTGCGAGTCTGTGCATGTTGGCGGTAGTGCCGTGGCTAGCACCAAGCTACGAACCCGGCCACCAGAGTTCAATTTACGCTCATGACCACCAACACCAGTGACGAATACCTGAACCGGTCCACGGCCTGCCCCTAGATCGACTCAAGCTCTCAACATCGCTACTAGGGAAACAAAGGCGGCCGGGCGTGGTGCTGGCCATGCTCCCCCTTATGTGCCGTGCAGGCCTTCATAGGTGCTCGCTAACAGCACTTGCCCCAGCAGTCTGTTAAAGGCTAAATGGGGGATATCTATCTTTGTTGGCACAGTGGGTAGCATAGGTGGTGCATTTGCCAGCCACTGCAGTCAGTCAACCCGTGGCACCTGGGTCTGCTCCGTGATCTCCTGCGAGCGAGCCTTCGACACATCACGTGGCCCCAAGGTGCACCTAGCCTGGCACAAGCGCCGTGATGACGTCACCGTCACTTAGTGGGGAACAGCCGTTGTTGTTGCTGACGAGATTTGCATGATACAGGGATCAAGGTTTGTGGTGCGTCTAACATTCGGGAGCGTCTTATTCACTCGAGAATATGGGATACACGTTATCAGCTTTGATTAATGAATAGGAAAGGTGGCCCATGGGACTAATGCTACAACGGTCTGGGCCCAGTTAACATCGGGCCAACATTTGGCCAATGATTACAACCACATGCCAACGTTCACCCAAGGTTGGCACGTTTACTGGGATGTTTCTAAACTCAACCGCAAGAAATAATTTAAAAGGACTTGGCTGGACGTGAAAGGAAGTTTTAAAACGGCTTTCAAACAAGTTAAGTTTAAAGTTGTTCACTTTGGTGCGTCTGCTGCTGCTCCATGGCTCCCCGACTGCCTGCTGGGACAGCGCGCGCGCCACCACGCCACAACACCACTCCCGCCCAACCACGCACGGCACACGGCCTGGAAGATCGATTCATCGCCGTCGACGGCGGCAGCTCCACGACTCGCGGCCAAACGCTCGCCGGTTCTCAACGTGGCCTCTCTCTCTCGCGCGCGTGTCTCCCCACACACGGCGGTGAAACCAAGACGAGATTGTTACGCCGGGAGTGATGTCGCCCCGCCTTCTCACCCCCCCCCCCCATCACACCCAGGATCCTCGCACCGCTCGTCCCCCGCATTTCACGTGTGCAGCAGCGGCCGCATACACATCCTCTCAACGTCGTGGTCTTGGCGGCCAATTTGGCTCTCCGAACGAAAGGTCCTCCCTCTTCTTCACCAAGGTCCTTGAAATGCAGGATAGCGTTTTCTTATCGTCACGCTGCCGCTGCTCCTCCTCCGTGAGCCTCGACCACCAACCACCGTCCCCTTCCGGCGACGTTGACTGCCCAAGCCAGCTCACTCGCTCTTCTTAAATGGCAGTCAATAACGATGTCTCTAACTCACTCAAAATATTTGATTTTACAAGGTAAGGCCCACTTAGCTATATAGCCATTTTTCAGATGCGACCTGGCTATCATAAATTATAGCTCAACTTCGTGGCTTATCACGTGGAAATGTATTGCAGCCAAATCATCTACATGCATGTTTCTAAGTGCGGAGGGAAAACCAGGAAGATCCGGAGAAAAATCCACACGACCACGGGGAGAGAGAGAGACATGCAAACTCCAAATATAAAGCAGGTGTCAGGGTCGGGATGGAACCCACGACCTCCTCCATACCAGGCGAGGTAGTTAACATCTCATAGCCACTGTGATGATGATGAGAGAGAGAGAGACACGCAAACTCCAAATATAAAGCAGCAAGCGTCAGGGTCGGGATGGAACCCACGACCTCCTCCATACCAGGCGAGGTAGTTAACATCTCATAGCCACTGTGATGATGATGAGAGAGAGACACGCAAACTCCAAATATAAAGCAGCAAGCGTCAGGGTCGGGATGGAACCCACGACCTCCTCCATACCAGGCGAGGTAGTTAACATCTCATAGCCACTGTGATGATGATGAGAGAGAGACACGCAAACTCCAAATATAAAGCAGCAAGCGTCAGGGTCGGGATGGAACCCACGACCTCCTCCATACCAGGCGAGGTAGTTAACATTTCGCAGTACGCGGTGATCATTGAGCGCCGTCTTCTTTTATCCGCATTTGCTACGTTACTTTGCGCTATCAACTCTTCCGCCCAACTCCCATCCGCTTCTTTATTTCATTGTTTTGACCCCGGGCCGCGTTCCGACGGCTCGCCCCCAGGTTCATGCGCTCCCGCTTCCTTTTTCCAGCCGTAACCCTCCGGCGGAGGACCTTGCGAGTTGTCGAGCGAACGCGACTCGCGTTCACGTTACACGAAGGACAGGCGTCATTGTGTGTGTGCGAGAGGCTCCTGACGTGGCGAGCAGGAGGAAGTACGGCAAGTGGGTTCTTACACCCGTCTGTACGGATTCTTTTGAGCGCTATACTCTCTCCGAAACGTGTGGATTTTTCACGCTACTTTGGTTTCCTTTAACATGCAGG